TTAATTATGATGCGTAATTACGCAGTTATTTTGAGTTTCTTGAATAAAAGAAACAATCTTTAAACCTTTCTTGGATTTAATACGTTTATTATACGATTATAGTTGTATGTATTCGTTTTTCTTGAGGAAAAACGAGTTAAAAAATATTTGTGACACAATGATAGAACTCCCAAGGCTCGGTTGAGAGGTGATACTTGAAGGCTCGGTTCAAGAATCAAAGTTTAGCACAACGGCAAGGTTTAACAAACCATAAACACAAGCTAAGCTCACGTTTTTTATATGATAATCAAAACTCAAATCTGATTTTTATTAATTCTTAACCACGTATTTATAAGCTAAACAAATAGCCTAAAATCGTGTAGAACAAATTCTAATCTAACTAGGAAACTTATCCTGACTTGTAAAGATAATATTTTGCAAATATGATCTTTAGAGTAAAGCTATCTTTTACTAAACAATAAAAACTAACACATATATCCTAATAATTAAAATAAACTCCTAAGGCCTAAAACAAGAAAAAACCATTCAAGTGAAAGGTAAAAACTCATAGGCAAAAATCTAAAATAAGCAATAACCATCTCAATACGTATCAAATTAATTAATTACATATATATTACTAGGATCTATACTAGACAAGGGTGTGCGTAATTGTGTGGCTGTATTAATTACATTTTTACTACACTTTGAATGAGCTTGATTTCCCAGACTGCTTGTGTGTGATGAGGTAGAAGTAGATGACAGTGGACTATAATTGACATCCTACTAGTCCGCAAACTTTCAAACTCCACCAGTTCTTTTTGGAAAGTTGAAACATCAGTCCTCAATATTTCATTTTCTTCTCTGCCTCGGTAATTGCTTTGTTTTTTAATTGTGATTGTTTGGGCGTGTGTGTAGTGTGAGGCTATTAGCACATGAAAACACATATGGATAGGAATCTCCTAAACTAAGAAAACAAATGCTACCTTGAGATGCTTTTCTTATTAACTTTTGAGATGCTTTTTTTAACAGCGTCATGTACTCCCAATAGAAGTTATGGTCAAATATAAAGTTGCATAACTCCTCCCATATGTTCATACTCAAGGTATATACGTTCCAAGAGTTTTAGTGCGTAATCTCTAGCTTTTAGTTTACGTTGCTTTACATATTATTAGACTTGGTGATGACTCTCAAAACATAACACAGTCAATCATTATATTTATTCAAACAATCAAACATACCAATTATATATATTCTTGAATAATTAGTGACCACATATATTAAATGTTGAATCCTTTTTAATCTACCTAGGTGTCAAAGACACCTTAAACGCATAAAGCGCCACAATTCCTATCCCTCGGTGTTAGAAACACCTTGAGTGCAAGAAGGCACCAAAATATAATTTAATCTTCGTGTACAGAAACACTTAAATAGCTCTTTGCTCCTGCTTATAGCATCAATGAAAATTATATGAAACATACTAAAATTCTTTTTTAATATTCCAAACCAAATTAAACATTTAGTTTGATTAAACATACTCATTATCATGCCAATAATAAAAGTGTGGTTCATATACAACATGCCAAATTAATTATTTCTAATCATTAATCCATCACAAATAATCCATGCTTCATAATTCAATCACCAACATCAATCAAATAACAAATTCCAATCATAATCTACCATGATACTATTTGGAATTAATTATTCAAAGCCTAGCATGTTTCTACATCATCAAATAAATAACAAGTACGCGAACATACCTCAAATAAGCCCTTAAAGTAGTCGAATACGCTACAACAATTCTCGAACCAAGTCTCCTACATGAAGGGACAATAACAGTATATTACTTCTCCTTGTATACACAATTTCCAGCAACTTAAATTTACTTTAGACTACTTCAAATAATCTAAAAACTATTCTAAAATCCCTAATTAACTCTTCTTTAATGGGTAATTAAACCATTTTCATAAAACCATCAAAAGTAGTACTTTGGGCAAAATTCCAGCATTATAATTTAATCAAAAACACATTAAAACTTCATCAAAACATCACTTTTATGCTTAATTAACAATTAGAAACCCTAAGTATACAAAAGCCCCAAATTTTTTGATATTAGAGCCCTAAAAATCAAGTCTTGATAAATTAAAAATCCTAACTTATAATCATATCAAAATCTAAAAATAATACTAATAATAATAATATGAAAATAAAATTAAAATTATTAAAACATCGCAAATATAGTGTAATCAATGAAAACCAAAACCTATACATATAATTATCAAGATAATTAAAATTAAGGAGAGGAGAGCGAGAGGAGCATAGGTGGTACGGTGGTGGCTGCCGGCAAGCGACTAATCGCCGGCTGCTAGTGGTCGCCGGCTGTTAGTGGTCGCGCGGGTGATGTTGGCAGCAAGCTAGTTCCACTCAACCAAATCCCATTCATGGGTCACATAGAGGAGGAAAAAAGTTAGGAAAAAGAAAGAAAAAAGAAAAGAAAGAAAAGAACGAGAAATAAAGAGGAGAAATGATTAGCTTGACAAATTGACTTTTTGTGTGGGAAATTTTGGGGATTGTAGGAATTTTATAGTGTAGAGTAGGTTAGGGTAAATTTTGGGCTTATAAGAATTATTGACTTGGATGATGAAAAAGTTGGCCCAAATGTAAAAATCAGATGATTGGGTTTATTATGAAGATGGGCTTCATTTGGATTAAATACTTACTGACCCAAATGTTATAACTTGTTTTATTTATACTCCAATAATTAAAATAGTTTGACCCAAAATAATTTATAAAATACATTAAAATACAGGGTATTACAACCAGTCAACCACCACCAAAATTACCCCCTGCACACATAATTCGCAATGGCGCCACTCCATCACACCACCAACACCTCCAATTCGCACCATCGCCGCTCCATCACACCACAACCACCTAAACTACCCATTTTCACGGACGCACCAACCATCCCCCGCAAAACAACCATCATCACCGACCATCTCCTTCACCGCCGTACACAACAGTTGGCCCCGAAACCATAAAACCCACTTGAACCCGTTTTCAGGGTTGTTTAAAAACCCTAAACGGGTTTGGTTTTACAGGTTCTTTTAGGTGGGTTTTAGGGTTTCGGAGGCCGCGCAAAAAGGGGAGGGTGGTTGTTACAGGGAGGGGGTCATCGAACAGGGGATGGGGGTTGTTTTGGCGATCAGTGGTTGTTTCGAGGGTAGTTGCGGCGAAGATCGGAGGAGGGAAGAGAGGAGGTGGAATTGTCGGCGTTGGGGGAATGTTTGAGCATCGAAAGCCGGCACGGGGAGGGGGAAGGGTGGCTAACGGGGAGGGGTGGCAGTGGCTGTTCTTTTTTTAGTTTTTTTTCTTCTAATAAATTACATATAAATATTTAGATAAGGGGCCCCACTAACAAAAAGTTTAACGGAAGTTGGACGGAGGTACCAAAACTATACCTTCTGACTTTGATAAGTACCAAAACAAAAATAAATTTTAAGCGGGTACGAAAATTCAATTGGATCATTTTTGAGATACCAAAATTCAAAATTTCCTAATACTATTAGTTCTACTTTTTTTTTTGTTAAAGTGTTAATTCATTTCAAAAGCTACAAACATCTCTATAGTCTGGACTGATTCTACTTCACTGTTACGCTAATTCAAGTTGTTTAGTAAAATTATGAAGTCAAATACTCTCAATAAACTTGACTCATTGTTATCATACCTTATTCACATCTTTCACACATTTCCCATAAGACTCTAATCACACTACAAAAAAATGTCCATATAGAAACGGAATTCTAGCGACGGAATTTTATCCGTTTCTAAATTAGAGACGGAATCCAAAAGTCGTCTCTAAATTAATTTAGAGACGGAATTTAAAAATCCGTTTCTAAATTAGAGACGGAATTTTATATTCCGTCGCTAAATTAGCAACGGAATTGAAAATCCGTCTCTAAATTAGAAACGGATTTTTTTTCCGTTGCTAAATTAGCAACGGATTTTTTTCCGTTGCTGAATCTAGCAACGGATTTATTTTCCGTTGCTAAATTTAGAGACGGATTTTTTTTCCATTGCTAAGTTAGCAACGGATTTTTTTTATGTTGCTAATATGAGCGACGGATTTTTGATTCCGTCTCTAGATAATTTTTGAAACTAATTATGTAAAATATTACATTAGAGACGAATTATGTAAGTTAAATTCATTTCTAAACTAGAAACGGATTTTCAATCCGTCTCTAAACTAGAAATAGATTTTTCACCAAATACCACTGAGTTTCATCTTAATTCATCGTATACCACCAAAAACTTTGTAATACACCCTGTACCACTGAGTTACCGTACATTAACACGAAATGTCTTTTTCATTAACTGCCGTTAGTCTGCCGTTTGATGAATTTACTAATTCACCATATGCCACTATTTTGAAAAGTTATTTCACCATATACCATTATTTGAAAGTTATTTCACCAGAAACCCATTTTTTTGTAACGGTAATATTTTTTAAAAAAATAACCGTTGCACACTTGTAATGGCTACTTTGTTTATATAAATGTAGTGTTTGAGGGAGATACTTATCAAGTCACACTTCTAAAAGCTAGAGTTAAGATGTCCACACATTCAAGATCATCATCTTCCTCTTTCGATTTTTCATACGTAAAAGTGCCTAACAAAACTTGTTCTTGTGGTAGGAAGTTTGCAATAAGGAGCTCGGATTCAGCCAAAAATCCACAACGGTTGTACTATAAGTGTGATGTATGTGAGACATTCAGATGGTGCAAGGGTTATGTGGAGCAAAATGTCGTATCGGGTTACAATAACCAAAGTAGGGGAGGGATGGACACGCAAGTGTATGGAGGTGAGAGCGTGTTGAAGCAAGAGTTGAAGGAACTCAAGAAAAGAGTAGCAAGGCAGCAAAAGATAGTAGACGTAGCAATTAAAATAGGAGTACTTATGTTTTTGGTTATTGTATTTGTAGCCTTGAAATTATTATTGTAAACAAACTTTCATTGCTAAAATTAATGTGCAAGCTGAATTGGTAGCTGTTTGTCTTCAAACTTGTACCTACTCCATTGCTCTTCAATAGCTGTAAGGTAATCAAATGCTGCTGCATCATAATTCTTGATCTTTGACATTGCCTTGTCATACATATATGCATTGTATGCATTGGCTGCAATCCAAAAGAGTTTATGAAACTCTGTCCCACTCCACCCAACTGTTTTGCAGTTAGAGTACACATGCTGACAGCATACCCTCCTAGTTGCTCTTGGGAATACATCAAAAAGGGCTGATTCAACACCCTTCAACAAACAAACACAAGGTTAGTTACTGAAAACTAACAAAAGAAAGACAAAGTTCAATTATTTTAACAAGCAAGAAACTAACCCTCATCCTGTCACTTATAAAAGTCCCGTCATCCCTTTGTGATCCATATTGTGCAAATAATAGCCTTAGGTTTCTGAAAAAGTAAGTCCAGTTGTCTATACTCTCTGTATCAACCAGACCATAAGCTATCACAAAAATCTCATTATTGCCATCAATTGACACTGCAGTGAGCATGAATCCTTTGTAATAGCCACTGAGATGGGCACCATCAATCCCTATAATGGGTCTGCGGCCACCCAAGAACCCTTTAACCTGAGCTGCAAAAGAGATGAAGCATGCCTTGAACTTTTCACCATTGCCCCCACTGTCAGTCCAAGTAATGAGAGCATATGAGCCAGGATTGGTGGCCTTTATTATCTCAGCATATTTTGGTAAGAGAGCATTAGACTGGGCAAAACCACCATGAATTTGGTCCCTGGCCAAACACTTGACTTTGTAAAACAGCCTGAGCTTCACTTGGATCCTAAACCTTTCCAGGCACATCCTTTGCAGTGCATCAATTGGGATTTCTGGGTTTGCTTCCAGATCTGGCCTCAAATGTCTACAAAGCCATGCTGAAGAGACCATAGGATTCTCTTCCAGCCTCCCACAAGTTTTATGTTCCCCTTCCAATATCTTTATTGCCCAGCTGACTTTATCAACAAGGACTGCTGCATGAATCCTCCAACTGCAATCATTCATTAGACACCTTGCAGTATATCTATAATTTTCAGCATAGTCTACTGTCACAGCAAAGCCTTCTTGTATGCAAAAATCTCTGAAAACATCATGAAATTGTTCCTTGGTTTCAAATATTAACCAAGGTTCAAGTTGAATTGACCCAAATGGTAAGTTAGACCAGACCTTTCCATTTTTGTACAGCTTGTCTAAAACATGAGTCCCATCCAGGTAGTCTTCAAAAGTCGTCTCCTGTATATTATCAGCTAGGTCTTCTTCTTCCACAATTTAGTCATCATCAAGGTTCAGTTCCATATCCAAATCATCCTCATCTTCTGAAAATTCATAGTAATCATCTTCACTATCCTCAGAAGGCCATGGATCAGATTCACCATCACTGTCCTCAACAGCTACAGGTTTTTTGCTCCTGGTATTCACTTCCCTCCCTCCTCATTTATTCTTCCCAACCTCAACACCATACTTTTTTGCTGTGCTTCTTGGCACCCTCCACTCTTTTGGTTTAATTCTAGACTGCACTTTAGGCTTGGAAACAGAACTAGAAGCACCAGCAGATTTGGTTGGTTGTCTTGGTGCAGCTGCATTTAGTTGAGGTGGTGGTGGTGGGGGTGGTGTAGGCTGCCTGGCTTGGGGTGGTGAGTCATGCATGTGTGGGTTATTTGGGGAAGCATGGTGTGTTGCTGTTGGCGGTGGAGAAGGGTGCTCTTGGGAAGCATTTGGTGGTGGAGATGTAGGCTGACTGGGTTGAGTTGACTGCTTGGGTTGGGTTTTTTTCTTCCTTGGAGTGACTTTTTTCCTTCTAGGAGATTTTTTCGGTGGTGATGGTGTCTTACTTTTTTCAGCTGAGGGTTGAGATGGTTCATTTTGTGAGGGTTGAGGTTCAGATGGTTCATTTTGTGAGGGTTGAGGTTGAGAATCTCCTGGAAATGACTCATCTGCTGCTGTAGTGTGGAATACCCTAACATATTCAGTCACATCATCTTCTGCATTCACAAAAGGGACCTCTACAGCAACAGTAAATGCTTCTTGAGCATTAAGATCCTCCTCAATTTCTTCATCCTCTGCATTTCTCCTTCTCTCTTCCTTCTTCTGCCTAATTATGTCAGCCCTGTTCTTCAAAGTTCTAACCCAACTAGCTTCTGCAGACTGGAAGACAACAGATGGGTTTTCTGTCTCTTCTATGAACACTTCTATTTCATCCTTCCCTTCATGTCACTCCCACATTTTCAACATTGCCCCATCATCAACTAACTCTAGCTTGCGATTAGTTCTAGGTTTACTCACAAACAAAGTGAAGTACTTAGGGAGGAAGACATTCTGCTTTATTGAATACTCAAACATATGCTCAAACAACTCCAACAAATTCGTCTTATCAGTGTCATCCACCCTAACATCAAAACTACCACCTGGCGAACGAACTAATAGCCACAATGCACTCATCCTAACAAAGAATAATAAGCAACAATAATAAACATCACATCACCAGTTAACATCACATTCCAAACAATTTGCATGCAACACATCAAACTTAATCTAACCTAAATTAATGGATAATTCGAAGTTAATAGCATAACATCCAAACAAACATAATCATTTTCGAATAAACCCTAACCCTAACTCAATTTCGCAAAAACCAACAAAATCAGAGCTCGAAAAACAAATCAATGAGAAGAATATTACCTTTAGAAAGCTTAACCCAACCCAGGTGAGAATTTCAAGCGAAATTCAGTCACGAACAACTTCCTCTCTCAAACCGCACCAACCAGGTTCCGTGTTCAATCAAAAACCCCTAATTATCGTCCTACTAGCAACGCCTACTTTAGATTGAAGAAATTTTACAGCTTTTGAATTGATTTTTGATGATCAACTTCAATGGAGAAGAACAGAGAGACGCTTCAATGGAAGGGAAAATGGGGGGTCAATTTTTTCGAATTACAAGTGTGATGTTTGGGGGAGTCAACCCTATTGATGGCGCCAGTTTCATGTTTAAGGGCAAATTGGTAAATTCCCTCAAACGGCAGACTAACGACAGTTAAGAAAAAAGGCATTTCGTGTTAATGTACAGTAACTGAGTGGTACAAGGTGTATTACAAAGTTTTTGGTGGTATACGGTGAATTAAGATGAAACTCAATGGTATTTGGTGAAAAAGCCGTAGATTTTTTAATCCGTCTCTAAATTAGAGACGGATTTGAAAATCCATTTCTAAATTAGAGACGGATTTTAAATTCCGTCTCTAATATTTCTTTCATTTATTATCAATTATGTACGTAAAAGTAAACAAATAATATTTGGTATAGTTGGTAAGAGTTTCACTATTTGACATTGAGGTCACTGGTTCGACTCCTACCAACAACAATCTTGCGATTAGAGATTCAAGGAGCGTTACATGGAAAGCCGAGTTGGGTTGACCCGTGTCAGGTCGACCCAAATAGCAGCTCTTTTTTAGATTTAAAAAGTTTTTTTCCGTTGCTGAATCTAGCAACGGATTTTTTTTTTCCGTTGCTGAATCTAGCAACGGATTTTTTTAATCCGTTGCTAAAGCTAGCGACAGATTTATTTTTTCGTTGCTAAATCCAGCGACGGATTTATTTTTTCCGTTGCTAAATCCAGCGACGGATTTTTTTTTTTCCGTTGCTAAGTCCAGTGACGGATTTTTTTTTCCGTCTCTAAATTCATTTGGCGACATGGTTTTTGCCAACGGAGTGATTCCGTCGATATATCCGTAGCTAGCTATGTCCACCAACGGATTTTTAGCAATTAGCAACGGATTTCACCTGTTGCTAAAAGGCCAAATTTTTGTAGTGTCAGTTACATAAGGCAATGAAAACACATTAACAATCATTGTCTTTTATACATTGACTAGGGCAACCAACGTGCGCGATGAGCACGGAGTGACTTGCCCTTTCTTGATGTTTATATCAGGTTGTGTTTAGACTCTTCACGACATTGGGTTATTAGAGAAAATAGTTTGATAAATTAATGGAATGTGTATATGGGTTGTGTTTAAACTTTTCTTTTTTTTCCTGCACAAACTTAATTAGGAATAGATTAAATATAATTCAAAAATCATAGACCACATATTGTATACTAATTTAACATTGCATATGCATTTAATAACGGAAATTTTTTTCGGAGAATTTACTATTTGCAAGTGTATACTCTCACCCAACCTAATAATTACTCTACATAAATTATATGGGATTAACTATATATGAAACTAAAAAAGAGAAACGGTTACACCCAACTCGCATAACACATTAACATTCAGGCAATCAGAGAAAAATATCAGATTCCATTGACAACTTTCTTCCAAAGACGTGGATTTGGTTATGCAGTAGAAAAAGTTTTATGTAGCCCCAATTGTAGCCTTTAAACCCTTGATAATTCCCTTGACTTCCTTCTTGCTTTTTCGCCCTTTTCACCGTAATCAGTTTGGTATCCTTTCTTAGTACATCTACTTTGGCAGAATCACCAGATTCTTTACATTGGTTTCAATGTCATTTAAACACAATTATGTGTAAGTCGTTAATTTTGACCTTCACAAAGAAACAACCTTTTGCTTGTCCGTTTGATAAAATTGTCATGCAATGAAACTATAGCCCCCATTAAATATCAAACATTTTAAATTTTAATAATTTTATTTTCTATTTAATTTAATTAATTAAGTAGAAATATCTTTCAAATTCATCCATCTAATTTAATTGAGTCATCTTATTAATTCCGATCATGAGAGGTGAACTTTAACTTTACCTAAAATATATTCACCTATAATTCCAATAAATTCCTACCTTATAAAAAGTAGGAGATTGCATATGGGGTTAAGAACGTAAACAAACATTTGATTACTGTGGGCAAGAACTCCTCCTCCTTGTTCGGGTTGCCCAGACCCATTTCATATTTTCTCAAAATTTAACATGGTATCAAAGTCAAGTTCAAGGTTTTGGGACCATGATGGCTAAAGTTCACTGGGCCAAGAGTAGGTCCATGTGAGGGGGAGTGAAGAACACTCTAGCCCAAAAAATCACAAGAGACAAAGTTAAAAGGGACCTTACATGTGAGGGGGAGTGTTGAAGAATAGACCTCCCAAGTATCACCACATGTAAGTGTCTCACATTGGTTGAAGAAGAGAGAGTTAATCATTTTATAAGGCTAAGGGGCTACTCCTCCTATCGCCATATGGTTTTGGGATGGAACCTCCTTGGGAAGTGGAATTTCTCTCTTGGTTTTCGGGTGCGGCCAAGACCCATATTTAACATGGTATTAGATTCAGGTTTATGATATGGGACCTTAAATGACTAAAGTTCATTGGGCCAAGAGTTAATCCATGTGAGGGGGAGTGAAAAAGTACTCTAACCCGAAAAATCACATGAGACAAAGTTAAAAGGGGACCTTACATGTGAGGGGGAGTGTTAAAGAATAAAACCACCCAAGTATCACCACATGTTAGTGTCCTACATTGATTGAAGAAGAGAGAATTAAACACTTTATAAGGCTAAGGGGCTACTCCTCCTATTGCCATCTGATTTTGGGATGAAACCTCCTTTAATCTTGTGAATTGGGCTCTATCAAACATTTAAATTTTTATAATTTCATTTTCCATTTAATTTAATTATTTAAGTAGAAAGATATTTCAAATTCATCCATCTAATTTAATGGAGTCATCTTATTAATTTCGACTATGAGAGGTAAACTTTAAATTTACATATAATTCCAATAAATTCCTACCTTATAAAAGTAGGAGATTACATATGGGGTAAGAACGTAAACAAACATTTTGAAGGGCATATAGGTCCGTGCACTATTCATAAGCGTTATCTCCTACTTTTTAAGGTAAGAAAACAACGTTTTTAAAATTGTTGGATATGAAACAATTTTAAATGGTGCCTTATGTAAACAAAAAAAGGGCTTCATTTTACATATTCTTGTCTTACATAGTGTAAAGCAACTCTTTTTGAACCATTGCATTATAGTGTGTAGTATACATTATTTAAAACCAAGGTAACAAACATGTTTTGTTGCCCTTTAAAGAAGGCAATATTTGACAACTTTTTGCAATTCTGCGTTTTGCCTATTCTCATTTTTTGTAGCATTTTTCAAAACCTCTTGGTACACGGAACAATTTCCCTAATTTTAATGAAATTTACACTTAAATATATTTTACATACTGTAGACACC